TTCCGCCGGGCTCGGGGTCCCCGAGGGCCTCCTGCGTTCGGGAGACCCTTCCCCTCCCCCCGGGCTCTCCTTCCCCGAAGCTGCGGCCGCCCACCCGCCTGCCCAGCCCTCTCGGGCTTTTCTCTTGCAAATGGAGCGGTCCAGGCAGGTGGAGCGCGCCTGCAGCCCGGGGTCCTCGCCGCCTTCCCCCCGGTGTGCCCCCGGACCTCCTCCGGCCCCGGCCTCCCGAGCTGGAGCGGGGCGGGGGGACTTCTCCGGAACGCCCAGGCTCTGCTTCCCTCTCTGGGAGGGTCGAGACCTGGGTCACACCCCCCAGCCCGCACCCGAGGTGACCCTGTCTTCCTCCAACCGCATGCCCCGGAAACCTTGGGACCCCGCAGAAAAGATGTCGCTCTGTGGTGCTCAGCCTGCATTCACCCTGTGTGCCTGGAGCTGCAACCCACCAGCCTTGAGGCCACCCAGGCGTCTGCCCTGACTCCCTGCCTCTTCCCCTCCCCACCCCTCTGCTCCTCCTCCCTTGGAGGTCAGCGCCAACCCCTGCTAGGCCGGCCCTGGAGGGCCACTCTGCTGACCTGCCCTTTCGCCCAAGCTCTCGCCCCCACGTCTCCACCTGGGAGACATAGCAGGCATGCTGGCGGGCGGAGAGGGTGAGCTGAGGGGGGTCCTGCGGGCCAGGGCCCAGGCACCAGGGCTTAAACACCACCAGCATGCCTGTTGGAGAGTCTAGCTTCTGAAATAGTGTGGTGGGGAGTACCTGGCCAAGGGGGTCCCTAGAGAGCTGGGACCGCATGTCTCCTAGTGGGATATGCAGTGAGTGGGGGATGTTAAAGTGGGGAGAGGGGTCCATGACCGTGGCAGGGAGTGCCCACTCCATTCTTAGGCCTCTGTCAACCATCAGGGCTGCTCTTTTTTGCTGCTGGGTCAGATGCACTGCAGGGAGGGAGAAGGGACAGGCTTCTTGGTGTCCCAAGCTGGAACTACTCTCCAGTGCGCCCCACAACACTGTGGAGCTCCCAGGCTGCAGGGAGGGTGCCATCTCTGCCCCCCCCCACACCCCTCCCTGGCCCACTCACTTAGTGATACCACTGCCTACTACTACCAGGGAAGGGTTGCACAGGGAAGTGGAAGCCCCTGGGTGCCAGGGGAACAGGAGCAGGGCAGAGGTCTACTCCTCTTCCCTGAGGTTCTCCAGGTGAGATGACAGCATTCCCTGGACTGCACACCCAGTGTCTGCTGGGCACTTTCTATAGCACTCCAGTCCTGTGTTGTAGCCCCATTTGGAGTAAGAAGAAATTACAGCTTGGAGAGGTTAAGACCCAAAGTCATTCAACTTGTAAATGGCAGGGTCTGAATCCAGAGTGTTCCATGAGGCAAGGTCAGGGTGGGAGAGGAAGCAGGACCCTCCTCTGAACACTCAGGGGCTCTGGGACTTGAGTTTGTGCCCAGGGTCCACATGCCCGTGCGGGACCACCACCTTGGGAGGCACTGGGCAAATCCTGGGCTCATGCCTTCCTCGCTTCTCTACACACTCCTCCCTCCCATAGGAAGAAGACCGTCTACAGGAGTGCGTGCCTGGCTCTGGCCCTGCTTGTGGCTGTGACGGTATTCCAGCGCAGTCTGACACCTCGTCAGTTTCTGCAGGAGCCTCCGCCACCCACCCCGGGGCCGCAGAAGGCAAGCGAACACCTGGTGAACCCCAACAGCTTCTGGAAGAACCCGAAGGATGTGGCCGTCCCCACCCCCATGGCCTCTCGGGGCCCCCAGGCCTGGGATGTGACCACCACTAACTGCTCAGCCAACGTCAACTTGACCCATCAGCCCTGGTTCCAGGGCCTGGAGCCACAGTTCCGGCAGTTTCTCTTCTACCGCCACTGCCGCTATTTCCCCATGCTGCTGAATCACCCGGAAAAGTGCAGGGACGATGTTTACCTGCTGGTGGTTGTCAAGTCGGTCATCACCCAACATGACCGCCGCGAAGCCATCCGCCAGACCTGGGGCCGTGAGCGGCTGTCGGTGGGCAGGGGCCGTGGCGCCATGCGCACGCTCTTCCTGCTGGGCACGGCCTCCAAGCAGGAGGAGCGCACCCACTACCAGCAGCTGCTGGCCTATGAGGACCGCCTCTACGGTGACATCCTGCAGTGGGACTTCCTCGACACTTTCTTCAACCTGACCCTCAAGGAGATCCACTTCCTCAAGTGGCTTGACATCTATTGCCCCCATGTCCCCTTCATCTTCAAAGGCGACGACGACGTCTTCGTCAACCCCACCAACCTGCTCGAATTTCTGGCTGACCGGCAGCCCCAGGAAAACCTGTTCGTGGGTGATGTCCTGCAGCACGCGCGGCCCATCCGCAGGAAGGATAACAAGTACTACATCCCGGGGGTCCTGTACAGCAAGACCAGCTACCCGCCGTACGCGGGCGGAGGTGGCTTCCTCATGGCTGGCAGCCTGGCCCGGCGCCTGCACCACGCCTGCGACACCCTGGAGCTCTACCCCATCGACGACGTCTTCCTTGGCATGTGCCTGGAGGTGCTGGGCGTGCAGCCCACGGCCCACGAGGGCTTTAAGACTTTCGGCATCTCGCGGAACCGCAACAGCCGCATGAACAAGGAGCCATGCTTCTTCCGCTCCATGCTCGTGGTGCACAAGCTCATGCCCCCTGAGTTGCTGGCCATGTGGGGGCTGGTGCACAGCAACCTCACCTGTTCCCGTAAGCTCCAGGTGCTCTGACCCGGGCCGGGCCACCAGGACAGGCCAGGGCACGTGCTCCTGAGCCCCCAAGGTATCGGGGCTGGAGCCGCGGCATCCGGGCGTAGCCTTTGGTCCCATCGGGGAGGTGGAGGGCTGGGGCCTCTGTGCCACTGGGTGTGGTGGGGTGCAGGTAGCCGGAGAGGGGCCTCCCTGTGTGGGTGATTTCCAGAGAGCAAGGCCCAGGAATGTGTTGGAGCTGCCCAGCCTGGAGGACACGAGCTCTGGCAGCCCCTCACCCGGGTCCGTTGGTGGCTCCCTCTGACCTGGCAGAAGGCCCTGGAGGCCTCTGAAGGAACCCTGTGCTCAGGTACCTGGGCTAGGCCTGGCCCCATGGGTCTGTGGCTGCCCCCTTGTCTTCACAGGGAAGAGTCTCCTTCTGCGAAATGCCTCAGTCTCCCCAGGGGCCCAGCGGTCCTTTCAGGAGAAGCTCAACCCTGTGCAGGCTCACAGGTGTCCCCTACAGCCCACGCCCCCAAGTCTCCTGGGGGAGGGGCCTCAGCAGGCTTTCTGCACCCCAGGCCTGCCTGGAGTCGGCCGCTCCACCTCAGCTCCTGGGGCCTCTGCTCCTGGCTGCGTTCTTGAAGGTATGGAAGCTCAACCAGCCGCTCTGACTACCTCAGTGCCCCTCAGATCCTCCCGTGGGCTGCAGGCCCACCCCACCCATGACACAGGGCAGAAGAGCAGTGCTCCTGGCCCCCGAAGTCCCGGTGCTGCCTGACCCAGCCCGAGCCAAGTCCTTCCCGCAGCACCCCTCACCCCGCAGGCCTGGCTCCCTGGCCGGAGAGTAGCCGGTTTGGCCCTGGAAGCGGACATTCCTCTATTACTGTGAAGTTTAATTTATGAAGAATTTGTAGGGAGAAGGCTCCAGGCCTCAGGAGGGGCGATATTCTCTCTGACCCTCCTCCCTTCTCATCCCTCATTCCAGCTGCTCCCCTAGCACCTCCAGACCCTTCAGAGCCCTGCCCCACCCACCCCCGCTTCCCCAGGGCCTAGCAGACCAGCATTTGCCCCTGCAAAGGGATGAATCAGGCCCTTGGTGATGGGTTTAGAAGGAAGCCACCTCCTACCTCAGGGTGGAGTCCTCTAGTAAAGATGGAGGGATCGACTCTATTTTCTCAATAAAGTGGGACTGGTTTTCTTTCTGGTGTGAAACTTCCTGTTCCCAGCTCTGTCAGAGGGCCTGTCTAGGGCCAAGGTTGCCGGAGATTTCTGAAGACACAGCTTGTTCCTTATTCTTGGCTGGTGGGTACACAAGGACCCCTTGAAGTAACTTAGAGGAGGATGGGCACTGGGATTAAAGTGGGGCGTGAGGGTGCTGCAAGAGAGAGACCTTGTGAGCTCACAGGGCACTCAACTGTTGCCGGTGTCCCTGGGGACAGCCAAGGTCTGGCCCAAGTGTGGGCTGATGCCTGCTCAGCCCTGCCTAGCATGAGGCCAGGGTTGGTCCCAAGGCCGTGTCAGTGGGTAGGATTAGGTGAGGAACTTAGAGGCTGCTGGGCTCCCTGATGTTCCTTCCAGCCAACCTGGAAGCATTGAAACAGGGGTTCCTGCCCCGTGCCAGGAATCTTGGCCTGAGCTGCTTACCTCCCAGATGGGGAGGGCAGCTGCCCCCTGAAGAGTCACTAGGGCAGTTGCAGTGAGCAAGCCAGCAGCTCCCTGCCGGCACTCAGCTCAGAGGCATTCTGAGAGGGAGTCAGATGCACGTCTGTCTTGGGCCCAGTCGCTAGGGAAGCAAAAGGGGGACTGTGTTACTGCTATTTCCTCTTCTCCAGCACAAGTCTTCCCACAGTTCCCTCTTGGCCACCCAGCTGCATAATTTGCAGGGCCTAGGACAAAATGAAAATACAGGACCCTGGCTCTAAAAAAAGTGTTAAGAATTTTAAGGCCAGACATAGTGGCTCATGTCTATAATCCCAGCACTTTGGGAGGCCGAGGCAGGAGAATTGCTGGAGTCCAGGACTTTGAGACCAGCCTGGGCAATTTAGTGAGACCTCGTCTCTACAAAAAAATTCAAAAAAATTAGCCAGGTGTGGTGGCACCCACCTGTAGTCCCAGCTATTTGGGAGGCTGAGCCCCAGGGGCTGAGGCTGCAGTGATCATGATCGTGCCACCACACTCCAACCTGGACGAAAGAATGAGACCCCAAATAAAAAAAAAAAAACAGATTTAAGATTGCAGTACTGGAGCATCAAGTCAAGTGCAGGGCTCTTTTGAGGGGCCTTTGAGACTGTGACGCCTGCCTTGTCCATCACTCATTCACATAACCAGGTCCTGCCATGGACTGCAAAGAGCTGAGGGGAATCGGGGCCTGTTTCCCAGGAGCTCACAGCAAGCAAGAGGGCAGCCAAGGAGACAGAGGCAGAGAGCTGCTGGACACAGGCCCAGAGGCAGCTGTGGATTCAGGCTGTACCTGAAGGCTCAGGCAGAGGGAGCAGCTTATACTGAGGGATGCAGGGAGGAAGGTGGGTGTGTTCTGAAGGGGAAAGGAACTCCTTGTGGGGCTGGGGTTCTGGTGAGAGAAGGGAAGGGAAGCTGGGAGGCAGAAAGAAGGATGTTGAGACAGAAGGATCCTGAGAGCAGGGCCTCGGGATGGATATGTGCAGGCAATCTGAGGGATCAGAGAGACCAGTGACTAAGGCCCCTGCACACCTTCCTCAGGCTCACTTTGGCTGTCTCTGGCTGGGCCTCATGGACACAAAGCTCCTTCTGGAAGATTCAGGCTTTTACAGTCTAGCTTCCTGGTAGTGATAAAGAACTGCGATGTCAGGGAGCATGTTTGATATGCGCGACACTACAGTAAACACTTAACGCATACAATCAGTATGACTTTAACTCAGGGTACAGATACAGTTACATTTTAATTTTTCTCATTGATTGCTTGAATCCCTCATGTACTCATTGGCAGAAAAATCAACATCACTCTAGGAGCCCTCTCTCAAATCATCTAAGAACCAGGCTCACATTTGTAATCCCAGCTCTTTGGGAACCCAAGGACAGAGGATTGCTTGAGCCCAGGAGTTCGAGACCAGCCTGGACAACACAACAAAAACCCGCCTCTACCAAAAAATTTTTAAAATATCGGGCTGTGGTGGCACACACCTATAGTCTCAGCTACTTAAAAGGCTGAGGTGGAAAGATCACCTGAGCCCAAGAGGTTGAGGCTGCAGGAAGCTGTGATCATGCCACTGCACTCCAGCCTAGGTGACAGAGTGAGAACCTGACTCAAAAAAATTGTCCAAGAACTTCAGGGGTTTCCCTAGTCCAAAGAGAATGTTCTCTGGAAAATCTGAGCAGCCATGTCCAGCTATCCCCACTTTCTCCACACAGTGGTGCTTTTGAACAGCAGAACTGTACAGTCCTGTGGCTTCAAAGGTGCCATCTTGACTCCCTTTGCAGCACAGGCTGCGGTAGTGCCCGTGCTTCTGAAAAAAAGTTGTATTTCTCTCAGTTTCTCTCACAAAATCAGCAACTTTTCCCCAAAGAGCAGCAGCATGCTAGGGGCAATGGGTCCTGTGGGTCCCAGTCAGAATCCCACAAAGTTACACAAGTTCTCTTTGGCCTAGGAAGCGCCTAAAACATTTCCCGACCGATTTTAGTGCCCACCCTGATTTGGGGGAGTGAGTTGGGGTGATGGATCTTAACTCTCCTCCGCCAAGGCCCTGGCTCTGCAAAATGACCCCCCCTCCCCTGCAACCAGCTCTGCATTCCGCGGGGCCTTGAAAAGCCGCAGCCTTTGTCAGGCCTCAAAAAGTCTGGTTCCACTCTTCCCCCAGGGCAATGGGTGCCTACTCGGCTACATTTACATAACTAAAGGAGACCATGCAAAGAATCTTGCCCTTAACAAAGAAAGCCTGTTCCTGGGTGACTTAACTCTGTGCACTAAGCTGAGAAGGAGCTGGGGGAACTTCTGGAATCCTGCTATGCACTTTGTTCAAGTAAAGCCATGGAGAACCCCAAGAGAAGGATCCCGCCGCTATTGTGCGACAGACACGATTTGAACTCGCGCCCCGCGTTCCTAACCCCCACACCTCCCAAGGCTTCCAGCCTCCTCTTTTCCTCAGTAGTCAGTAGGAAGTACGCGTTTGTTGGTGGTGTGAGAAAGCCTAGGAAGTAGGAAAATGTTCTGTCCAATGAATGATTAAAATGTGGGGGTTTGGGGAGACCAGCGTTATTAGCACTGCAAGAAATACATTTCGCCAGATAGTTATTTGAATTATTGTGACGAAAAACTTTTATGTTCTGATGAAGACACTATGCATTATCCACAGCACAACCCAGAGCTATCAGCTTCCAGCCCACTCACTGTCTTTGAGCTACTCAGCACTTCTTTTTAAGCTGTAGGTACTGAAGGCTTCGCAAACTCTGTCCTGTCAGGTAGAGAGCTTCCACAGACCCTCTCCCCCCTGTGGAAAAACCAGTTTGCCTGTTTGCAATTCAATTCCTTCACTCCATATAAATCTGTGCTTTTTGCTGTCTCCTTTGAACCGATTATAGCATCTGCCTTGGTCCTCTTATGAGTAAAATAAATCTTTAAAAAATAAATCTTTAACACCAGCTTATTTTTATATGTGTACACGAGTCACGAATGTACCTTTCTGTGAAAATTACCTTTTACCGACTGCCTTTATGTTGAGACGAGCACAGATACACTTTGGAGCAGAACGCAATTTGTGCACGTGTTTCTAATACAAATCGTGAATCTTGGAATCGATTTTACACTCGCTATGGACCCTTCAAAGTGAGCCAGGCAAGAGCTCAGCCCTCAGGGGTTGGGGGTGAGAGCTCAGCCCCTCGCCCCGTTCGTCGGAAAAACCTTTCGGGGGGAGCTTTGAGAGAAGATCTGGGCCGGAGCCCAGCCCCGGCGGGTGGAACCGAACGGGCAGGGGCGGGCGCGAGCCGGGGTGTCCTTGCGGCTCC